AGCTAGTAAATAAAGTGTAAATTTTATATTGTTAAGGTATGCATAAGATTATTTATTATTTTTCTTATTTAAGTCCATAAAATATACATATAACTTATTATACTAAATTATTAGTAATGAATTAACTCAATTGTGCACTGAATTAACTTAATTGTGCACTGAATTTAATCAATTGTAAACTGAATTAACTTAATTATGCGCTGGATTTACTTAATTGTTAAAAAATTAAATTCTATAATTAGTTAATTCAATGCATAATTAAGTTCATTCAGTTCATAATTAAGTTAATTCAGTGCACAATTGAGTTAATCCTATTCAAAATATAGTAAAATATTTAAATTTATTAAAAATATTAAATACTAATAGCTATCACAAATTTTGTTAATAAGCTATTATGTATTACCAAAATAAATAATATAATATACCGTATAATAAATATACTTAAAATAAATTTAATGAAATTTCATAATAAGGTGTTAATAAACCCTTGTTTAATTATAGTTTTCATTATAGTTAAAATGCCTGGATACAGTAGCGAACGATTTTTCAACATAAGTGAATCGGAAAAGGCATTATTTCAATGCAGTATATGTCAGGACATACTCCGGGACCCAGTGGTGGCCCCCTGTTTACAAATGTTTAGCGAGCAGTGTATTAATGAATGGCTTAAAACAAATAATACCTGTCCTTATGATAGAAAAACATTGACTTCCAATGGTCTAACTCAATCACCAAAGTATTGAATTTAGAAAATATTTTTAAAATTATTTATCTATTGTATATTTAGTATTTAACATGCGTTGATTTGTTTAGGGCACTGCTAAATATGTTAATGAATTTGAAAATCCACTGCGATTATAAAGATATGGGATGTACTAAAGTGCTAATTTTGGAGCAACTAAGCCAGCACACTCTAACATGTGAATTCAATATTTGTAGCATATGTAATTGCCAATGTCAACCAAACCACAATTGCGTAGAAGCATTGTTAGATTTAAATAAAAAAACCAACGCTGAAATTGACAAGTTAAAATTACAGCTAGAAACAGCCTCAAAAATAGCTGTTGACAAACTCATTGCATCTACGAGTAGTTCACTAGAGAATTGCCGGGTACAAATCATATTTATTAATTAAAATATTTTAATTTATTGCGTAATATATTATATACTTTAAAAATATTTTAAAACATTTAAAAACATTTAAAATACATTTTAAAATTAATTTTCTGTATAGTTTTTATTGGAATAATACAATTGTAAATATTTTTAATTTCAATTTAAAATCCTGCTAATACGCTGGGACACCCGTTATATCCGACTATACAAAAATGTATTAGTTTATTAACAGGGTGGCCAAAATATGGCAACCCTACTTTGATTTTAATTTATTTTAATACTAACTTGTTTATTTTATTCATTTATTTACTAAATTGTAGCTGGATAGTTAGGGTTTTGTTTGGTATATGATTTGTCCAGGTC